TTCCGACCGAATTCGGTCGGAAAATAAAGTTTGACACTGGCAGTCAACGCATTGAATTTTTCAACCAACATTGGTGGGAAATTTCCGACCAATTTTTTCCGACCGATTTCGGTCGGAAATTTCCGACCAACTGCGGTCGGGCAAAGTTTGCGACCATTGTTTTTCCGTCCAATTAAAAACGGTCGGAATTTGGTCGGAAATTGTCAATTTCCGACCGATTTCGGTCGCAAATTGTGCACGGAAATCTAGGGGTGTGCATTCGATTTATCGATCCGATTTTGACCCCTTATCGATAATTACTTATCGATTATCGATTTGTACATATGCTTATCGTTATCGTTTCAATAAGGTTTTGATTTTTTCGATTTTGATTTATCGATTTTGGGGACTTATCGATTCGGTTATCGATTACACCAATAAGAAAATTTGCGGGATTCCACGGAAAGTATATCGCTATAAACGCGCCTAACTAATATGGACAAAAAGAAGCTAAAATAAGACGAACACCATTTATAATATAAAAATTGTGTCAACAAGCACATGCAACAAAACTAAAGTAAGGGATCAAATGTATGCCACCAACACTCCAACGGTATCAAAAAAAACAAAACAAAACAAAACACATCATCACGGCTAATTCTGTTTTCCATTAATTTGAACTTCATTCCCTTGATCTTTAAATATGATCATTCCTTAAATGTGGTAGAGGAAATAATAGGGTAAGGGACTTAGGGTAAAGGAAAGGGTATAGATTAGGGAAAATAATATTGTATAGCCGCTTTCAAAATAGTAGCGGAATATATATACATTCTGTATGTTATATTAATCTACACAAATAGGTAATTACTCATTTAACAAGTGTCTACAGTCTATGGGTGTGCATTCGATTTATCGATTCGATTTTGACCCTTATCGATTATCGATTTGTACATATGCTTATCGTTATCGTTTCAATAAGGTTTCGATTTTTTCGATTTCGATTTCGATAACAAATAATCGATTCGATTTATCGATAAACCGATTCGAATGCACACCCCTACGGAAATCGCCTAATTTTTAGTAGTGGACCTGTTATATCATTCGTCCGTTCTTGGTTCCGATCTGTGGGTATCTTCGGGCTCACCCGAGCCAGTAGCAAGTAACGTCTTTTCCTCGTTTCACAACAGAAAATCAGAGATAACTCTATCCTCGATTTTACCCATATACAAACTTAAAAAAATAACAGGAAGGGGTTTATAATCAATCATAATATTAATTAAGATACTAAATTGAAAAAATCATTCAAAATTTGTTGTATGTACATGTGACGATATAATCAATTTCTTCATTATTGAGAGACATCTTAAAATTAGGTACGCACAAACAAACTAAGTTTTAATACCGACCAAGGAATTGTGGCATAATATAAAACACAACAATGCATATTTCCAACTGTGGCCCAGGCGTTGATGTTATTGCTTTGTAGTTTCCTTGGCGTCTATTTCTCAAAAATTGTATTTGAAAATTCCGTTTTTGACTTTTTACAGAACTCGACAAAATCAAGGTCCATGTGGATTTTTGGAAACAAACTGCTTCTATAATCCAAGTTTGATGGCGAGCTCCCAATTGACTATACAGATCGAAAATCCTGCATGTTTGCAGGGCTGTTAGTTCCCAAATACATTCAGGATAGCCAAAGAGATAAGAAACTTTAAATAATCAGAAATTTTACATGCCCCCAAATGCTTGCTACTTAATACTCCATATGTTACTATTTTATATAATAATTTTTGATTGGACACAAAATTTAAAGAAGAAATAAAGACTTTTCAAACTTATGATCCGAAATAGATCATAGAAATTTTGTGTGGTTATAAATTATTTCATTAGGATAAAATAAAAAGTTTAGGGTTAAATTATTATTAAATATGAAAATGTGTCATTGTGTTTTGACTCTTAAAAAGGAAATGATGGGACAGAGCGAATTAGTTATACTTTTGAACCTATTGTTTCTATGATTCTGACTGACAACTTAGTATAACTATACAGTATGTATTATATATCTTTTACCTGAAAGTAATAAGTACCATTGCATTCACTGCCAGATCTGGCTGTTGCTTACTTTCCCCAGCTAAATTATTACTTATTTTTTGGTTTTCCAAGTGTTGAACAGACATATCTGTTTACAATTACCGTTTTAAAAGCTCTTATTGACAACTCACTCGGTAAAATATTATGTTTTAGATGAATATTAAATGTCGTACTATAGATTGCAAAAGTACTGTGACGTAGGTGCACATATTAATTAGGAAACATTTGCATCTTTTATATATTTTGGATATAATTAAGATCATGTAGGTGCAACACTTCCTACTATAACTCGGGCTGAATTGAAATTTTATCTAAGATCAAAATTATTTAGACTCAGCGGTTTTAGAAAACGTCTAATTTGCCAAATGGAGATTAACTCGAGTTAATTTAGTGAATTATCATGAGGGTTTTGTCCATGAGAAATGTTATGATGACAATGCTTAAATTGCTTAATTATTTCATGATGGTAATTATGACAAATCTAAGATTCAGATAACATAGGAATTAATAGGCAGCTAATTAAGGATGCATACCTGTTAATGCATCCATGAAGGACCAAGTTCTTCTATGCGAAGTTGAGGGAACTGCACGACACAACAAGTTCAGCATTAATGTAACCACATCGGAACATACTCTGCACCCACTGACTTAAAATTCTAAATCTGACTATAAATTTCATATTGTTACTTACCTGAATCGCAATTCGAAGTAGAATTCCAGCTACCACACATGCACAAACTGCTAAAGTCATTGACATCATAGCCACAAGATCCACCAGTTGCCTCACAAGCTTTGCAAAATGTTTCATTTCCTTGAACTGAATATTTCACCCTTATACCATAAGACCATTCATCAGGGCCAGTCAGTCTCAAAGGTGCTAAATTATAAGCACTGCTGTACCCTTGACAACCAAGCCTGGTCAAATTTACATCCTTGATTGCTTCATATGCTATTGCACAGCATTCGGGCGGGCCTGATCCATACACCGAGCCCGCCCGTTGCGGCCCAATTAGGCTCCACGCTGGACAACTATAATAGTCATCACAGCCCATCCCAGCAACATTCCTGCAGGGCAAGTGCTTTCCAGAGAAACCTTGGAAGAGTGGTGATTCTGCCTTGCAATGTAGCAGCATGAACACATTGTCAGTCATGGGGGTCAAGTACGGCTCCCGCCACCGCTCCACCACGAACCCGTTGCCCCGTTTACCGAGCATGATCGACGTGCACGTCGACATGTGAGGTTCGTCTAAGGTGAGGGAACGGTATGCATAATCAATGTCCAAAACACGGTACGAGCCTGAACTAATGTGAAACATTAGCACATTATTGATGCAATACAAGAGGTCTCGGTAGCCCTGGTGGCCGCAGCCCGGTTGAAGTGCAAAAGGGTAATCGATGGTCAAGTTTCCGCAGTATGATCGGCAGCCATGTGCATGGCCATAGCTATAAGCTTTAGGGACTAAAAATTGAAAGACAAAAGAAACAAAAGCTATGAGTAGATAAGCCATGGATCAGAAGAAAGAGATATGCGGGAAAACTTTTGTTATGACAGGAAAAGAGTGACTCTGTATAGGATGATACTAGTACTAAATTTGTTTATAAATCTTGATTGATACTTTGCTTTGAGTGCATGATACTGAGGGGGGTGTGACACTTTGTTGGGATGCTTTGTTTGGAGAATCTGAGGTGAATTCTAAATGGGGTTTTCTACTTTTCCTCTCTTTTTGGAAGACCGTCATGGTTTCTTAAAGAATATTTGGCTGATTTTGTGAGCTTTACGTTTGCTTATTCACTGCTTTCTGCTCAACTTATATATACTATAGTTGTTAGAATATACTATAAGCCATACGCGTCCTGCCGCAGTCCTGCCGCGGTTACGCTAAGACCGCAGCTAAAGTGGCCTTTAGAATCTGCAGCAGTGTTCTACCGCGGTTCTACCGCGGTTACGCCAGGACCGCGGCCAGAGTGGCCTTCAGAATCTGCAGCAGTGTTCTGAAGGCCAATTATTTATTTACTTGTTTAAATTTCATAAAGTTTCCTTTTAAATAGATCATGTATTGCTTTGTGTGTCCATTGCTTACATAGTAGATGATTTAGTGTATAGAGTTTAGCTTATACACGGAAGATTAAATCATCGGTTCTTGTAAGACATAAAAGTTAATGTTCACAATCTAATGATGGAATTGGACAAATCATCGGAATGGTTGTGGTACAAGATTAAATGTAATTTATCTTGATTATGGGAATAGGTCTAACTCCAACTTCTTGTGCTAATACATTTTGTATGTATTGAACGGATCAAGTAGAGATAAGTATTTTATACTGACTTTATAAAATAATTTCTCAAGTCCATTTAATGTACTTATACTCTTAATCCTGATATAATTATTATTAGTTGTGTATGTCACTTGTTGTTTTGATTTATTAAAAGGCGAGATTCTTTCGTGAGTCACTAAGCCTGGTAAATTGGATAACAATGATATACATTGGCGAAGTAATAATTAGTTGATGGAATCCATGTCTCGGTTTTGAGATTGATGATACTCCTTTATGAAAGCTTATAAGTTTTCATGTGTAAACCCGGCCGGTGGATTTTGTATCCGACACATGAAATAAGTTAAGTGTAAGTCTAAAGGAAGTAATCAATAAATTAAATAGTCAGTAATTTAATTTGATTGATTAGTATCTGAATTTTAACATGGGGAGTTAAATAAGGTTTTATGGAAGAATTTCGAAATTGAACTAAGGAGTGCAATTACGAATTTTTAGTGGAATAATTCGTAATTTATTATGGTAGAAATTAATTTCAAATTTCGAAATTAATTCCATAATAGGAAGCCTTGTTAATTAAATTCTGTGGTCCCTACTGTGCCTGAATAATAGGAAATAAAGGAAACCTTTCCTTGGTGGAAGAAGAAAACCTAACAGGTTATATATATATATATATATATATATATATATATATATATATATATATATATATATATATATATGGTATATAGCTGGTCGTTTTTGACACAGAAAAAAAAATACACGTTTTTCTTCCTTGAATTTCGCCCGCCCGAAGTTCTCTGTTTTTCGGTTTTTATTTGGGTAACACAGTAGAAGACTGTGGAAGGTCGCTGAGGTCTTGCAATTCTGGAACTGGAGAAGGATATCGATTTGCTTTGTTCACGCTTCAAGAGGTAACTCGTATAATCTCCGTATGTGCTAATTGTTTAGATTACACGTGATTATGATGCTATGTTTGCTTCCGCTGCGCAATATGATCCAACAATTGGTATCAGAGCCTACTTACGTCTAATTAAATAATTAGGATAAACCATAAGGATTAATATCATGTTCTATATGCAAGTTTTGAATTACATACAAAGTTTGTTTTTTCTGAAAACCTGCACTGTTTTGGCGTGATTATCTATAATGGGTTGTATTGATTATTCTGAAAACTTGAAATATTCTTTTAATATTGGTGATGTTAAGTTAGAATAATCTGAAAATTGAATTTAATCATGAAAAACGTAAAAATAGTTTTGGCCGAATTAGGGCAGAAAATTGGAGGTCAACTAGTTGATGGACTCCGATTGACCTGAAACTTGGCAAGTCCATGCGAAACGGCCCAGTGACCAATACTCATCAGCTTCGCTCATGATGTAAGCCGTTTCTTGGGCTTTCGGGGTCGTTTAAATGGTGTTTTTGCTTCTTTTTTTTAAATTATGAATTTTTTTTTAGTTGTTTTTAATTCCAGTAATCATGGGGATCAATTCCCATGGTCTCCGGGGTTAAAAATTAGTGATATAATATTTTTACACGTTGACGTAGGTCTTCTTCCATATCGGATAAAAACATTATGAATAATCACTAGTTTATACTAGTCATTGATTACTTGTATTTACTCTCCATCTGAGTATGCATGTTGGTTCAATGGGACTAATATATGTTGAATGTTGATATTCACTTGGCTTAAATTAACAGTTTACTCTCCATCTGAGTATGACCTGTTTAAATTTATGGGGTGGATAATCTGTCACTATATATGTATATTGCAAGAATGGCTTCTTTCCCATCGAAATTTGTTGTTCAAGGTGCATAGATTGTATATATATAGTGTGTTTTGAATTTTAATATTCAATAATACAAACTGATTTGATCTATTTAAATATTTAATGTCTCCCAAATTGACAATGACTGCTTTCAATCCCCTTACTCCCATTCTTACTCAAAACAAACTTGAGGGTCCGAATTATGTTGTTTGGAAACGAAATTTGGATATTGTTCTACTTGCTGAAGAGTACAAATTTGTGCTCGATGAGGTGTGTCCAGAAAAATCTGGAGATGATGCAACAGATGATGAACAAAAGGCTTACCAGAAATGGATTAAGGCTGATGAGATGGCGCGGTGTTACATTTTGGCATCCATGTCAAATGTTCTGCAACATCAGCATCAGTCGATGGAGTCTGCTTATGACATTCTGGAAAATCTCAAAGAAATGTTTGGAGATCAGAATCGTGCGGCTAAGCAGACTGCCATGAAAGCCCTTCTGAATACCAAAATTGTTGAAGGTTCATCGGTCAGGGACCATGTTCTGAAGATGATGAGTCTTCTGAATGAACTGGAGGTCCTTGGAGCTAACATTGATAAGGACATGCAGGTTGAAATGATCCTGCAAACTTTGCCTGACAGTTTTCAGCAGTTTCGCCTGAATTATAACATGAACAAAATGGATTTGTCCCTTGCGAAATCGCTAAATGAGCTGCAGTCGGTAGAGACTATTATCAAGTCACAAGCTTCTCCTGTGGCATTGAATTTTGAGGCAGGTTGTTCTTCTAAGCTGAGAGGCGGGCAGAAAAAGAAAAAGGCTCAAAAACCCTCTGTTGGTGGCGCGACTGCTGGTGTGAAAAAGGCTAAAGGCAAGTGTTATCATTGCAAGCAGCCTGGGCATCATAAGAAGTAGTGTCCAACTTATCTGGCCAAGCTGAAAAATAAACCAGGTGATTCACATCTACTTGTCGTTGAAACATTTTTAGCGGTTGTTTCTACCATGTCATGGTGTGTAGATTCGGGAGCCACTAATCATATCTGCACTTATTTGCAGGGGTTTCAGGTAACGCGGCGGCTAAGTAAGGAGAAATCAATGTTTATCAAGCAGACGGTTCAGCAGTCCCAGCTTTAGCATTAGGAAATATTAGTATTTCGTTTGGTAGTGGTAGAGTTTTAGCTTTAAAAGACACATTATATGTACCTTCCGTTAGAAGGAATTTAATTTCGGTTTCTAGCGCTATGAGAGATGGTTATGATTTTAATTGTCATGACATTGATAAATGTGTTATTACTTATAATAAACGTTATCTCTCTTCGGCTACATTGATTGATGGTATTTTGTAGTTGACTCTACCTAAACCGTTACACTCTAAAGAACTGAATTATATTGATTTACCAAATAAGAAAAAACGTTCTCCTGAATTGAGTGAAACATATTTATGACACTTGCGTTTGGGTCATATAAATCTAAACAGAATTTCAAGGTTGGTCAAGGATGGACCTTTAAATTCATTGAAAGTGGAGGCACTACCAACATGTGAATCCTGTTTAGAAGGAAAAATGACAAAACGAAATTTCCGCTCAAAAGGAAATCGAGCAAGTGATAAATTAGAATTAATTCATTCTGATTTGTGTGGTCTAATGAACGTCCAGGCAAGAGGTGGTTTTGAGTATTTTGTGACTTTCACTGATGATTATTCAAAATATGGATATGTCTATTTGTTGCGTCGTAAGTCTGAATGCTTTGAAAAATTCAAGGAATTTAAGGCTGAGACTGAAAAACGACTTAATAAACATATCAAAACACTACGATCTGATCGTGGTGGGGAATACCTCTCTGCGGAATTCATTGGTTATCTATCAGAATGTGGGATAACATCTCAATTGTCTGCACCTGGAACACCACAACAGAATGGTGTAGCTGAAAGGAGAAATAAGACTCTTATGGAAATGGTTAGATCAATGATGAGTTATTCCAGTTTGCTAGCGTCTTTTTGGGGACATGCCTTAGAAACAGCAAAATACATTCTGAATTTAGTTCCTTCAAAGTCAGTACCTTTGACCCCTACGATATTGTGGACTGGGCGCAAGCCTAGTTTGGGGCATATTCGAGTTTGGGGTTGTCCGGCACATGTGCAAAAAGGGAAAATGGATAAATTGGAGGCAAGAACAGATGTATGCATGTTTGTAGGCTATCCAAAAGGAACGAAAGGTGGTTTATTTTATTGTCCTCAAGAAAAGAAGGTAAGTGTTAGCACTAATGCCAAGTTTCTTGAAGAGGACTATTTGGTAAATCATGTTCCTAAAAGTAAAATGGTTTTATAGGAACTAAGCAAAGGAATGGAAACTCAGTCATCTGATAAACAAAACGACCATATACAAAACCCCGAAGTCGGATTTGACATACCATTGCATTTTAGTAGTGGGAGAAATGTCAATAGACTTAATGTCCCGCAAGAACAAGTGCCCGAAGTCATACTACCACAAAGTAGTCGGAGTTATGTAGAGCAAACTGCACAACAGGAAGAAGTCGTTGATATCCTTTTGGATAGCATGGAGACTCAGGTTCCTGATGAGATTGTGGTTCAACCAATAAATCAAAATGGTGTAGTTGCAAGTGATGTAGTGCGTAGTCGTAGTG